ATAACCATCCCCATCATGGGAGATTATTGTTCTATAGCGGGGTCCATTATTCCCATTCCCAGATCTCCCGCCCAATGAGGTCTTGCAAACACCTCCTCCGAGGAATTTCAACATATCCCGCCTCGAAAGCGCATGCCCGCGCCTCGCTGCGCCGATGCGAGACCGCCAGTGGAGCCCTAGCCAAGGTTAAAGCACAAGGAAGCATCGAGCGACAGGATTGCCTTGGTGGGGATGGGGGCTGTCGGCGGCGAGGCAAGGACCTGGCCCTGAATAGAAAAGCGAGGAAGTCTCGAGCAGGGCCGCTGTTGTTGCTGCGAGCGGCGCCACTGCTGAAGAGAGTAGGGCGCTAGTCCAGCGTAAAACAAAACGAAGTCTCGAGCGGGAACGCTGGTTTTGTTGGGACGGCGGTTGTCGGCGGCGAGGAAGAACACCGCCTTGAGTTAGAAGTGAGGAAGTCTCGAGCGGGAGCCATGATTTTATCGGGACGGGGGCTGTCAGCGGCGAGGAACAGCACCGTCCTGAGGAAAACGGGAGGAATCCTCGAGCGGGCTTGCTGGGAGCGGCGCCAATTCAAAAGAGAGTACCCAGCGTAAAACGGAAGGAAGTCTCGGGCGGAAGCGCTGGTTTTGTCGGGACAGCGGTTTTCGGCGGCGAGGAGAAACACCGCCTTGAGTAAAAACGAGAGGAAGTCTCGAGCGGGAACGTTGTTGTTGCTGGGGGCGGCGCCGATGAGAGAAAGAGTAACGCGCCAAAGGTAAAACGGGAAGAAGTCTCGAGCGATAGCGCTGATTTTGTTGGGACGGCGGCTTTCGGCGGCGAGCAAGAGCACAGGCCCCGAGTAAAAAAGGAGGCAGTCTCGAGCTGGAGCGTTGTTGTTGTTGGGGGGCCCGTTTTGGCGCCCCCCAAAACCGCTCGAGCGTGAGCCTCATTGTCAATGAACATGTAGCCGGCGCCGAGGCGAGAGCGTCAAAGCGCTTGGGGAGGGGGTCCAAAAATAATATCTGTTTAACACTTAACATTCAACAAAAAGAACAACAGCAACAACAACAACAGCAACAACAACCGCCTCTGTTCGCTCAAGCCTTGATTCGCTGTCGGCGTCGCCGCGGACGTCGTCCAGTTGGTGCAGGCGTCGCCTGCTGGACGGCCGCAGCTGCAGGTCTTAGATCAAATGTTTTGTTGCATGTCGTGCCAACTTTGTCCACATTGGTCCACATCCTTTCCGAGCCTGCCAGGTTGTCAACGGGGTCACCAGTGAGGGGTCGCCGCCTCCTGGTGGAAATCGAGGGCCGACGAGGAGAGGGGCAGGGGTGGGGGGAGCACCCGCGCGAGCGGAAAATCCGACTCGGGTGAGCTGGCCCGAAGGCGCTTCACGGTGCATCGGCAGCTAAAGCCGAAGCCAAAGCTGAGAGCACGGACGCAAAGCTGATTCGCATCGAAACGAGGATTCGAATCGAGGAGCATCGGGACGTTTTTGGGGCAGGGGGCCCGCTTCCTGGGGCCCGTGGCGACCCCCTTTCTCGCCTGGGCTGTGTGGGGGGGTCCAGAAACCCGGGCATATGGCGGCCAGGCGGCAAGTTGTTCTGGGTTCTCGGCCTTTGGAGGCCGATTCTTCAAGGGAGGAAAAACCACCTGGACCCTACAATTTGCGTTTACTGGCGTTTACTGACTAGCCCTGCCCTGTCACAAGGGGCCCTGTCCGATTCCTTCTGCGGGTGCGTTTATTGACCGGTTTCTCGTGCCGGGGTGGCTATCATGGGGGTGGATGCTCTGCCCTTTCATTCTGGGCCCTGGGGAAGACATGTCTGGGAAAAGTCGAGCCGCCAGGTGCATGGGGACGACTTGCTCGAGTGCGTGCCCCAATTTTAGCGAAGTGTGCTCGCAGGCGCTCGTTCCCATTCGTCCGCCAGACCGCGCAGAGACGAGAAGTTTTCTTCGCTATGGATAAGCGTTTGCGCTTTGTAGGGATGCGAGAGGGGGTCTTCGTGAGGGAAAGGAACAGTCGAAGAAGCCCTGGGCCCTGGTGGCCTCAGCATGAGTGGCGCAGGAAACTCAGGTCAGCCCTACAGAGGGTAAGCCAAGCCCACCCTCTGGCTTGGGCGCCATGTGGAGCCGTCCCCAAGTTCCACCCTCCGCTGACCATGGGTCTGGAGCCCCTGGACCTCCTCTGGCCCGGGTTCACGACATGGCCCTGGTTCAACCAGGTCAATGTTGACCCGGCCCAGCGCGTCCCTGAGAGAAAAGACGGTACGAGCTCATTGTCCACGGCCCCTCTATTAGCTAAAGCGTCCGTCCCCCCCCCCAAGTATGGCTGTTCGTGCTAGGCTAGTGGGTGGCTGCCCACTCCTATGTGCTGCAGCTCTTATATAACTCTCCCATCGAGGCCGTCTGATCGTAATGCCCGTAGCCTGGCATACCCGTGAGCCCGACGAAACAGCGCGCCGTCGACATCGAACTCCGCAGCGCCCCAGCCAGCTCTCGCCGTCAGCAGGTCTATGGG